TACAACTTAAAAGACAATTCTTTCTCTCAGCCAGAAAAAAAATAGAGAGAAATTGTTATCTAAAAAAAAAGATGGCATGAATAATGTACAAGACACTACAGTTAACACGATGTTGTAAAATCCGATGTTTAAATAATGCTTATTAATAACTAATTTAAAAGCAACTGAATTTTAATTGTACATTATAATTAAGCTATACATTGGTATGTTAATGTAATGATATTCAGATCAGGAAAATACCACGGCATAATAAAGGAAACAACAACAATAAAAACAAGAGAAAACAACACAAAACAACACTTCTTTTACCAAGTATGTGCAAATGGTAATTTGATGTAGCCACTGTGAGTCTTTTAAGTTATTGCTTATGCCACTGGTAATGTAAAGTTAAGAGGTGTACACACATAGGAAACTATGTTATCTTAGGATACTTTCGTTACTTGGATGCTTGGTTCATTTTATTATTTGGTAAAATAATCAATTCCCTTGTATTCGGTTGACCAACTATTTGTTATTTGATTAATGTGGACAGCTTAATAACTATATTTTCTTTTAAACTTGAAACCGATGATACACGTGGATTTTTAAAGGAAAAACAAATCGATCTTCGAATATAAATATGTCACAAGATGCACGCGAGAATGAGCTAATTGAAGTCACAAGGTCAACACGTGATAGAAGACATAACACATCTGAACGACCCCAGAGGCTACACAGTGGTTTGGTACAACATTTTAGAGGTATGGGTGACTAGCGCAGTGGAAGTGGAATTATTGTTATATGGCAAGATACGCCCAGGGGCAAGGCTGTAGCAGCCCTCCATGGGGGTTAAAGTGTTAAGTTTTGTCCAAGTTTACCAATTGTTTTCTAACCTGTTCAGTGTGTTATACTCTTCTTTTAACCCTTCTTCTGATCTGCAAAGGCTACATAGCTGGTGCTATTGCTTCCAACAATTTAGACTTTTGGTAAACATTAACCACGAGATTTAATTTAGGTTTCAACTGTTAATGATTTGTTAGAATAAGTATTTGTAAAATATAAACAATTTTAGATGTTGATTAATAAACTGATGATGAGATGGTTGACCGTCGAGTTTCCACTTAAAATGTCAAAGAATTTGAAATTATCAAAACAAACATCTTTAGCCGAAAGACACTTGCTGGAATGCAGTTTCCCGATGCCCAGTTTTACCGAATGGAATCTTGCCCGAATGCGGCAAACGCCACAATATACCAAATGCGGCCAATGTCACTAGGCTGAAGGCCGTTTGCCCAAAAAACAATATCAATATTTAATTGAATAAAATATCTTTATTCTTCAATATATGAAAAGGTTGTTTTGAGTGTCCTTTCATCCTTTTGATCAACGTTTTGGTCGACGTGTTTCAGTAGCTATAGAAGCTATGTAGACGTCATGACGTCTCGCAATATTGAACAAAAGCGCTTCCATTTGAATGACCTTATTAAGCATATGTTGGTTGGTGATCATTTCACAAAAGAGAGAGGCAAATTGTAGTCGGAGGATTTTAAAATTAAAGGTAGTATCCATTTTTTAAATTTTCTTTTAATGTACCTTGTTTTGATAACGTTTTAAAGCTTTAAGAATTGTAGGTGTTGTTTTTTTTTAAATACGTAACAGTATGGTACTTTTTTCTTTAATAGATAGAAAAAAAATATTTTCACTTTTATATTCATATACGTATGACTGTAAATGTGTACTTGGAAATATATAATATACATTTATTTTCTGTATTTTAAGCTTAGAATTGTGTTAATTAGCAAAATGTACAATTGAGATATACCAACATTGTGAACTTTATTTATTAACTTTTTTTCCTGGCAAGTGGCTTGTGGGCATTTTACAAGCTTTTATTAAAGAGTTGTATTTAACTTGCTCATTGTGTGTATGTGTGTATGTGTATGTGTGTGTGTGGGGGGGGGGGGGGGTTGTATGTGTATGTATGTTTGTGGCTATGCTTTCTAAATTTAAGCCACTTCACATTGTCCGTCTGAGCTAACATTCGTCACGATGGTAGAAGTTAAATGATGAAACAAGCATGCTAATTTTAATCTGAAAATTTAATATTTAAAATGAATTAAAAATTACTAATTTCAATAATAAAAGGGGAGATAAGATACATAAATACTCGAGATCTATTGATAACAAGATCGTTGTGGTTGAACTCAGTTTACGGATCGCTGATTTCGTCCACAGTGTTTCTTCCATACTTTTTACTTTGGGGGGGGGGGGGGGGGGTTGGCACTCGATATTTTCGGTTGAAGGGGAGTTGTTAAACGACACTAGTAAAAGTATATTTTTACTATATAAATTCCATCTCGTTCGGGGGGGGGGGGGGGGGCTGCAGACTTTCTTCGGGGGGGGGGGGGGAGGGTGGAGCCCATCCGAAGAGATGCCTGGAAGAAATTCTGTTCGTCGACCAAAACGAAATTAGGGGCAGGTAGCTCAGTTTAAAAAATCGCAGGCTACTGGATGGATTTTAAAGCAACATATTATATTCTTAGCCTACACAATGACTGCAAAATGGAAAACAAATCACAAAATATTATTTTTTTAGGAACTTTTTTATTACATTTAAAAATCACACAGTCAATTGAAATGATGGACAATGAACATTCATCTTATATGTTATAGGTTGTACACCTTTTAACGATATCGTTATTACAAGGAATAGTCCTACATCTTGTATAAATGAACGCCGTGGCCTTTTTATTTTTATTTTTTGTCATACCAGAAAATACTTTTGGTATGGTTACACCAATCTTTATTATTTATTATTATTCGATATTTTTGTCCATTAATTTTTCATTTGTGATATTGTGTTGTGATTTGTGATAATACTAAAACAATTTTCCTTAAAATATGGCTATGGCTATGGCTATGGCTATGGCTATGGCTATGGCTATGGCTATGGCTATGGCTATGGCTATGGCTATGGCTATGGCTATGGCTATGGCTATGGCTATGGCTATGGCTATGGCTATGGCTATGGCTATGGCTATGGCTATGGCTATGGCTATGGCTATGGCTATGGCTATGGCTATGGCTATGGCTATGGCTATGGCTATGGCTATGGCTATGGCTATGGCTATGGCTATGGCTATGGCTATGGCTATGGCTATGGCTATGGCTATGGCTATGGCTATGGCTATGGCTATGGCTATGGCTATGGCTATGGCTATGGCTATGGCTATGGCTATGGCTATGGCTATGGCTATGGCTATGGCTATGGCTATGGCTATGGCTATGGCTATGGCTATGGCTATGGCTATGGCTATGGCTATGGCTATGGCTATGGCTATGGCAATGGCTATGGCTATGGCTATGGCTATGGCTATGGCTATGGCTATGGCTATGGCTATGGCTATGGCTATGGCTATGGCTATGGCTATGGCTATGGCTATGGCTATGGCTATGGCTATGGCTATGGCTATGGCTATGGCTATGGCTATGGCTATGGCTATGGCTATGGCTATGGCTATGGCTATGGCTATGGCTATGGCTATGGCTATGGCTATGGCTATGGCTATGGCTATGGCTATGGCTATGGCTATGGCTATGGCTATGGCTATGGCTATGGCTATGGCTATGGCTATGGCTATGGCTATGGCTATGGCTATGGCTATGGCTATGGCTATGGCTATGGCTATGGCTATGGCTATGGCTATGGCTATGGCTATGGCTATGGCTATGGCTATGGCTATGGCTATGGCTATGGCTATGGCTATGGCTATGGCTATGGCTATGGCTATGGCTATGGCTATGGCTATGGCTATGGCTACGGCTACGGTACGGCTACGGCTAAGAAAAGCGTGGGTCGCTTTATTATTTGTTAAAAACCTTACTAGAATTTATTGTGCGACCCACGTGTTTTTAGTTATTTAAATAGCAGTTTATTATTGAGGATCGTATTTAAAGAATCATATCTATTTTCTCCGTTTTCATCATTAAATAATAGCTTATAATAAAAACGTTTTTATGCCTTTTTCAGTACTTTAAATCTATCAATACAATAGGGTTGCATGGCTACAAATAATTATGCATTAACTCAACACGAATAACATGCGTAAAATAGTAAAATAAATAGTACTACTTGAAATAGGAAATTTAGAATAAATAAGCTTCCTATTGGGTAAAAAATTATGACGTGTTACATTGTCTTCGGGTATTGAACCTCGTGCCAAGTTTACAAGTAATTGGTTAGAAGTTGTTTAATTTTTATCAGCAGTTTTGGCCCATCAAAAGGAAGCAAGCTAAGTAAAAGCTTGTAACTAATATGACCTAAATAAAGAAACATTTCAGCAGCTTACGTTTTAAATATCAATTTTACGTTCAATAATGGAGATCAATAAGAAGTGAGTGAACACAGTCGCTAGTAGGTTACTTACTGATGTCGATCATTCATGCATGTTTAAAATGGTTTTTTCCCATAAGCACGTGTTTGTAATTTTGTTCTACTTTTTTTTAAAATGTTGGAATCTGATTGACGAAAATCGAGAAAATATTTAAATTATTTAGACACATGAGATTTTTTAAAAATGTAACGTTGTATCCATTGCACTGAAACTATTGTCTTTGGTATATTGATAACTATGTAAAAAGCTTAAAGAGGATCCATTTATATACATATATATATATATATATATATATATATATATATATATATATATATATACATAAACTTTCAAACAAAGTATTGGTATAATGGACAGTGGGGAAAAATCAAAGATACTAGGTATCGGGAATAGTTGGGAGACGGGGGTGGTTGTTGAATAAAAATATTATATTGCTAACCGGCCATTTGAAAATGTTTATACCAATCTCGTTTGGGTTACAGAGCATATATTTTTTGTTTTTACTTTAATGTCACAATCCTCATAATTAGTCCTGTCTATAAATATGTGCTATTTTTTTTTATAGCACGCCTGTTTCATTCATCAAACAAAAAACAACTGTGATTTGTGAAAGAAAAATAAGTCGCAATGCATTGGAATGTCTTAAGGTAAGATAACTACCCGAAACCCTTTACTGAAAGTAAAGGTGGCATGACATAAGGCTGAATGTCATATACATCATACATCATACATTGGAATGGTTGTATGCATCGATAGTTTACTATTAGAAATCAGTATGTCTATAAGTTATGACTAATGTAAGTATGATTCCAAAGTTGGTCTGCAGATCGCACATTTATTACTTTAAAAAGACGAAGACAGTTTTCTTAACACACCCTTACTTGATCACAACCAAATCGAGACTTTCTAAGTCCTACACAGATACACATCCAACCACTATAACAAACAAGAGAAGACTAGGATTCCAAAGTTTCTAACTCTATCTTACAGGCTTGATCACTATGAACACTTCTACCTCACTCATGTCAAACAACAAAATGTTCGGTCTCAGTCCATCAAAGCCAGATCAGGGACCTATGTCCTAGCCTTAGCCTTAAAACAACAGGGTATCTCTTTACTTGTTTCCACACATCTACATCTCAGGTCAGGTTGGTTGGGGACCTATTTCTAGAAAAATGTGCTGTCCTCAGCTATCGAGCCTTATCTGCACGAGGGTTCGAACCATGAGCTTCACCGACTCGACCACACCGCCTGGTTTAAGATGGTAATTTTTGTGATAAATAAGATTTTAAAGCTCATTTTAAACATGCTCTACTGACACACGTTTCTACCTACTCGTTTCAGAATGATCTCCTTGGGTATCCGACCTCGGCTTCAATTCAAATATGTGAAACTTAGCTTTGCTTTAATCTTTGCCTGCGGCATTGCTGCTTTGATCAACAATACATCTAAAAGAAGTCCCCTATCCGTATTCTCAGTGTCAAGTATCAATGCAATCTGGGAGTTAGAGCGTAATATTACACAAAGAGTATGGTTCAACCAAATGAAAACAAACCAAACAAAGCCGAAAAACGCCACAAAATCACCGCCAACTTACAGTGCGCAAGATCTCAAGAAATTTCCGTTCCTAAATGAACCCGTCATTAACTCACATAACTACAAATATATCATCTCTCCCAATGTTACTTGTGAAGGCCGCGACGAAATAGAACTATTCATCGGTGTTGCAACGCGCTTGGATAACTTCAAAGGTCGCCAGGCGATTCGAGAGACCTGGGGCAGTTATGCTAACGTCAGCTCCCATAACTCAATTCTAGTTTTTTTCATTGGTCAACCGGAGCCTGGATACCCAAAAGCAAGCTTAAAACAGAAATTACTTCTTAAAGAATCAGCCAAGTATGGTGATATTTTGCAGGAGGATTACTTGGACTGTTATCACAACTTAAGTCTAAAATCGGTATCTATTATCAAGTATGTTTCTACTTACTGTTCAAAGGCAAAATATATCCTCAAAGCGGACGAAGACATGTATATAAATTTCAACTGTTTAATTGATAGTTTGAAAAAAAATCAAGTTAAAAAACCTAAACTTAAAGCTTTTGTGATGGGAACAAAATACGTCAAACCACCCCCAATAAGGTCTACTAAATCAAAGTGGTACATATCTAAAGCTGATTACCCTAAGAGCAGATATCCGGATTATGTATCAGGTGGGGCCTACGTCTTGTCAGCACAGGCGTCATGGCTGTTGTACCAGGCGTCCCTCAGGTTGCCGTTGTTCCGGTGGGAGGATGTGTACGTCACGGGGATGTGCTCCAAGAAAGCTGGCGTTGAGGTCATAGACAATGATCGATTTACTTACGAAATGTATGATGTGTCAGACATTAGAAGTCGCATATCAGGGCATCCTTACACACCGACGGAGATGCGAGAAATGTACAGTGAACTGAAAAGTGATACAAGTTGTGAATAAGAATTGTATAATTGTTTAAAAAATTATAGTTTTGACAAGAAATGTTATCTAAAAAGACAGTTGTACCTAGTTTTTACTTTCGGAACTTCGTAGGTCTGTAGGGGTGGGGTAGGGGATTTCCAAGTCGGGTGAGGTTTCATAATTTTGATAATATTTTGATTGTCCTTTGACATCGCTGTTTGTCTCAGCACATAAAGCTTTTGGGATATTTTTGCTGCATATATCATTTTCCATTCATGTTAAATTGGTGTAAAACAAACCACGTGAATTTTGTGAGATATGCATCCCGAAAACTGGCTCAAGTGTTATAATTGATATTTAGTAGGTAGGAATTTCGGGAGAGAGCAGGCAATTATAAGGGAGGTACATGTTGTTAGGGTTGGAGTAGGCGATTCGAATTCGGGTGAGGTTTGTAGCGATTTAAATTTATGGGTGTCAAATGCCTGTCTCACAGGAGTCAAAGTTTAAGTTTATTTAGGGGTTAATTATCTCAATGGCTTACCCGACAATGAACTAACGCTTGTAAGTTATTAATATGAATAGGTCCTGTTCGAACCCCCCCCCCCCCCTCACTATACACTATTAAAGGACTAGGGATCTTATTTTGATTTTTGTTTTATTCAGTAGAAAATAAACTGGTTTATAATTTGAATTATACATATAACATAGTTAACTTTTAAATGTTCAATTGTAATTATTGTTTTAAGAAGGAAAACGACCCTGGTTTTCTTGGGACTCTATGCATTACTTACACTAACTTTACGGTAGCTACGCCGCTAACCACAAGAGTCGTGTTTAGAAATGCACTATTTCACTCAGACGTAAGTGAGCAGCCTTATTTGGGTTTTCTGGACAAACTATTTTTTTGTTTATTCTTTCATTCTACCAGACTTGGTCTTCAGGCACAACGAACATCAGATTATTGAGTCTAGCCACCAAAATCAGGCCGATGACATGGCTGCTGGCCAGCAAATAAAATGGGTCTAAATCTGGGCACTCATAGTGTGTTGTGGTAATGTTTTCTTTTAGAACAGCGTTAATTCTTCGTCCTATGTAGTATTGTGTTACTGGGTGGTAGTGTGCCTGGATTCTGTTTCTATTTAAATGTTTTAGTCTAAAGGGGTTAATTTTAGTGTTGATGTCATGCAATCCTATTTACACCTGTTAGATTTGGATTAATGTTTGGTGGTTAATGTTCCTGATAGTCTTTTTACATTTAAATTCTCTAATATGTTTGTTTGTTTGATATACACATAATGAATGCCTAATGTTATTTCCTTTGCCGTACGCAAACATTCTTTGATTATAAAGCAGAAAATATTTTTATTATTTTATTATTGATGGTTTGTGTTTGTTTTTAAAACATATTTTTGTGGGCTTTTCTGTTAGTTTAACTTATATTTTAAAATAACCATTGTTTCACCGTTCCAAAATAATAAAATATATAAACACAATTTACAACTTAATGGCTGTGTTATTTATTCAAATAACATCCCATACTAAGGACAATTTAGCTGTTTATAAATGTTTTGCCTAACTTATTTTCTAACAATCAACCTGCAATAAACATTCGAGTTGAGAGTACCACGCAAGTTGACATCAGTTGTATCTGTTTCTTGCTGTTTTACTTACAACTATTAAGATTAGTCAAAGTAAGTCTCAGTTTGTATAACTATCAGGCTATACAGATGTCACTGTCCAAATGTAAGCGGTACTCGGCGGGAGATACAGGAGTCTTACAGACACACGTTTGAACCTAAATCCATACCCAAAAAAACAACGGGCTAACAACCAAACGCTCTACCAATCGACCACACCGTCGTACAAAGTTAAACATGACATGCTTTATTCCTTGAAGTTATAATAATTACTTTTTTAATATTTAAAATAATTTTAAATTTACCGTATTTTAAGGTAAACCAAATCTATTATCGATCATTCATACGATTACATCGAATGTTTCACGCTTAAGTGATCAAACGGAAACCAAGATGTCATCACGTGTTAGATACAACACACGTGATTGAGACTAACCTTTTGAATACTGGCACGTGGGTGACAGGTCAAATAAAACGTTAACAGAACCTGAGATGCTCTGATGTAGTGAACTGTATTAAAAGGTAGAGCAGGGAGAACAAGTGGGGAGCGAGACAACCAAACATTATGTACAAACTATACTGATTGTTTACGATATACAGTTTACAGATTTATTTATAGGCAAGTCTTTACTCACGTGCCTAATTCTAGATAAATTGGTCGGTTAAAAATGCGCGAAATTTCGCTCGCCGTTTCGATATTATGACGACAAAAGCACGACAGAAAGACTGACAGGGGAAGCAAGTTTTAAAAAAGTTTGTAAAAAGTACGCAAATAACCTTCCCATTCGCTCAAAACGAAAATATATTTAGTTTTCTTTATTGTATTTATTTCACAAAATTATCATATTTCCCAAAACATGTGGAATAATTGTAATAAGCAGTGTTTTTTTTTTTTAAATTAGCACATATATGTCTTCACGTATAAAGAAATTTAAATGTTTAATCAAAATTAATTTAAATTAGTTTTAAAAAAAAATTCCCATCCTTTGTAAAGAAACTCTGTTGTTTGTTTTTCTACTGTTTAATATGCATTGCTTAGTTTTAAGAGATTGTGTGGTTAAATGGTAGAGAGTTCGGCTAATAGCCCAAAGGTTTCAAATTCGGATCACGGTTCTAACTCGAGACGACTGCAGGACGTCGATGAGTCCACCCAGCTCGGATGGGTACCTGGCTCACGTTTTGAAAACCAAGGTGGCGTGGCATAGCCTGTGATTTGGGCGCGGACGGAATAAATGATGAATAACTTAGTTATAGATCGAGGTAATCGAACAGATCAACTCTATTTTATCTGCCCCATGATTCCAGAAATAGAGCACACTTTCAGACTTATAGTTTTATGATTAACATAGTTTGTGTTCTCTCTATCTCTAACATAGCTAGTTGCACAAGTAAATAAAATATGACGTCACAGGCTCTAAACCTTTCATGCACAATAAAATCTAATTCAAATGTAGTCGTTCGCATTACTATGTTAACCGTTTAAAAAAAAAACGATAGAACGCGATTATGATTCCAATTATATATGCCATCCTTATTAGCAGTGGTTAGTGGCCGTTACCGCCGTATAATTTTTGTTTCAACTTTTTACTTGTTTTTGTTAATCTCATATTGAGTTTAAAAGGTGAGTTTTCAAAAATGTACATAAAATTGTAGAACAATTAGACTAACTCTGTTTTTAGTAGGATTATATTCATTTTTTATTAAGCTTTCTAACAAGCATACTTATTTTAGGTTTATCCGTTTAACAGACTATGCAATGTCTCACAAACTAGGTACCCTATTAGCGGTATCGATACCGCATTTTCATGTTCCTTCGTTTTATATGAATTATGTCACCAATTTTTTATACATTTTTTTTTCTTAAAGAATTTTAATAAGTAAACTAGTAAATGAGAGGATTCAAAGATAATAAATTAACCTTTTTAAAATAGTAAAAATTGTATGAATCGAGCTAACATGTGGCGGCCTGTACTACGTGCTACTAATGATTGAATTAGGTATACGATAACTCAACACAAACTTGAAATTAACTTATACATATAATGATTTAAAACTAAAAATAATGACAATAGGTTCGATTTGAGTAACATTATAAGATTTTTAGTTTAATTTTTTAACTACGAAAATCATCTTTTACGTAATGCATTATAGTAGAGGCTTAAATCTAAAAATCTAGAAAAATGGTATCGCTAATGTTTTGTCGCTATATCCGTTTGTATTTTGATCAATTAAAATAAGAAAACATTCAGACTTAATTTGAAATTAGTGTGAGTCGGTACATTTTTACTGTTATTTGCACACATGTTTTTAATTTCTTCTTCAGTCGTTCACAAGCTGTAAAACCCGACTAACAAAATAGATACCGTAGGCTTAAGTATTAGCGATATCGATTTACCTTTCTCCGCTTTCGTATTCCGTTATATTTGTTTTATATTATTACGAGCCGGCCCGCGGCATAACATACGCCGCTATTTAGTTGTTTCTAATTTTCAATAATTCATAATTTGTGAATTCGACAGTACCAACGCTGACACTGAAAATATTTCTTTAAAACACTATAAGTAGCTCGTTAAGGACCATACCCCCCCTTCCTTCCCCCCCCTCCCCCCTACGTTTAAAATCGTTGGCTCTGCTTGTAAACATTTAGAGTGAACACAGCTCACTAAAACCATGTAGGGGTGGGGAGGTAGGGAGAGCGTTTGCAGCTTGTTTTCTAACGGCTCGAAGAAGAGAATTATATATATAGATACCATTAGGTATAATTAAAATCTAAAATAAAGATGTATCTAAGCTGTCTTAAACATTATAAGCCAAAGGTCGAAATTATTAATTGAATAGTGGTTAAATTCACCAAGTTGACTGTGCGGGATCCAAATCTTATTAATATAAGAAATATTAGTTAAAAACAGAGCATTTTACGAGCGTGTTTATTCTATTGTAACAAGCTGAATGTGTACACTGATAGTCTTCATTTATTTCATATCCCATTAGTTTCTCTTGCTAAAGAATAAAATATACCCCTGTAAACAACAAAGGCCTATATTTATTTGCTTGATACCCACTCACACTCAAATAACTATTGTATGAGGAGGGATAAGACTTTCTGAGTTAAAGACCTTTGAGTCGGGTGCTAATTGAGTTGCTTTTGTTAAGTTAGTGTGATTGATGTTTTCGAATACTACATCTAAAATGAAGTTGAAAGTATGTAAAGTATGGTTGATAAGTTAGCTATGTAGTACTGGGGTATCTTTTGCTTTTCTAAACGTGGTACGGAATTGAATCTGCCTTTCATCGTCCACAAATAAAGGCACTCTTTTTTTACACACATTCCCCTCTCCCATCCATAGCATATCCTCATTGTTGTAAGACGTTTTTCCAGACCGGTATCGCCAAGATTTTGTT